TCCCGCACATTGCTTTGAGCAAGTGCGGAAGCGAGAGGGCCCCCCCTCTTAACATTCTACCGCCCGGGCGAGGACACGGCGTTGCGGAGCCCAAGCCTGGCACACGGCCAGAGTGCGTTCCGCCGTGTCCTGCGGCTCTGGGCAGTGGTGACAGCCCGTGGTGAGCTCCCTTCCAATCCGGTGCAGGTACCGACCGAAGCACCCGTGCCCGGTCAGCACCTGCACCATATGGAAGGTGAGCCCGCATCCTCGCCTGTTCGCCATTTCTGGCAGATAGGGGCGGACCGCCTCGGCCGTTCGGATCCCGAATTTTTTGGGGTCAGCCAATATGGCTGACCACCGTTCCAGGACTCGGGATCTGGCCTGGGATTCCAAGGCCCTCAGGTCCCTAACCGATGGAACTTCCCCCTTCTCGCGGAGTTCCTTCACTCTCCAATAGAGGGTGTGTCTTGATTCGGCAAAGAGCTCCACGGGGGGGGGGGTCCGGCCAGGGCCGTCGCCGCCCTATATGAGATGGTGCGGTACCCCTGAATCGCCCTCACGACCACCGACCGCATCGCCTGTTACAGGCGACTCTTGTTGCGGCCGATGGCCATATGTCAGGGCGTCCATATGGGCGCTCCGTAGAGGGCGATCGAGAGCACCACACCGATATAGAAGCGGCGCGCGTGCCATCTGGGGCCCCCCGGGGTCACTGGGTCCTCATCAGGCTGGCCAATGTCAGACCTGCTTTACGGACCCGGGGGGCCAGGCTCCTGAAATGGGCCTCGAAATTCCAGGGGCCGTCCAACGTCAGGCCCAGATACTTGATCGTAGGCCCGACGCGGCCGCGGACTCCATCCACCCGGACCCGGGACTCCGGTGGCGCCCCTCGACGGTGACCATGAAAGCAACGGCCGAGGCTGTCCGCTAGGGTGGAACGAAAAAATCAAAATTGAAATATTCAAAATTGGGTAATGTGCAAAATTTGTGTCTTGACCTCAGTAAGAAACGTGCAAAAGGAGATTACTCTGAGTCAATATCTTCTATTCCGGCAACGCACTTAAAGTTTCGTTTTTAGGTGAAATTCCCAAAACGTACGAAGAAGCTCTTATGTGCTTAAAATTACGTCAGTACGTCTTAGAGTAATTCATTATTTTCTATGCCTTAGCATAGAAAATAGGATATATTATGATAAAAAAGTGTGTCAAAGCAATATATTTTTCAGCTTTTTTCTTAAATTACACGTGCAACTCTTCGCTCGCCGTGAAGGTGACTCAGAACTCACCATGTGAAGGTGATTGCACTTTGTGAGTTCCTCCCCTAGCTCTTCCCTACCTCCAAACCGTAATGGACTAGAATAAAATTTAACTTTGCGCTTTGCTTAACAATATTTATTAATGACTGAAGTCCCGCTTTGTCTCAAACTGTGGCATAAGAGCCACTTTCATGATTCATGAAAGTTTATACACCGACTTGGTTCAAAATTAAATTACATCATTCTTTAAAGGATGGATCCAGGAACCTATATTTCCTCATTTGCAAATCCCATTATTTGCCTAAAAAGTACTTTCAAATAATTAATCCTGTCATTGCGAGAAATGCATTTTTTGCATCTTCAGAAAATCTTCTCAGCATGCTCACAAATGAGAGGACAGAGATAAGAGAACTTGCTATCCAGAAAATAATAGAAGCAAAAGAAGCGGAGGCTGCAAATCCCGGGTTTATAAGGTCTTTCTCACTGCCTAAAATTAATTTTCAGGCCACAGACTACAAAGACATGATTGATTGGTCTACAGAAGTAACAAGTCCTCCTGTTCTTAAGAACTTTTCAGACAAGCACTTGAGGAATTTCCTATCTGAAAATAAAATTCCCCAGATTTGGGATTTTCAAGCTTTCCCAGCTCATATACAGGAGGTGAAGAGAATAGTGAAATTAGTGACTGAAGCATCTAACAAGGTCTTTGGACAGGAGGTAAGAAATGGTCATATAAGGGCCACGTTAGCTTCTCGGGCTCTTATGCTACAGTTTGAGACAAAGCGGGACTTCAGTCATTAATAAATATTGTTAAGCAAAGCGCGAAGTTAAATTTTATTCTAGTCCATTACGGTTGGGAGGTAAGGAAGGGCTAGGGGAGGAACTCGCAAAGTGCAACCACCTTTACGTGGTGAGTTCTGAGTCACCTTCACGGCGAGCGAAGAGTTGCACGTGTAACTTTAGAAAAAAGCTGAAAAATATATTGTTTTGACACACTTTTTATCATAATATATCCTATTTTCTATGCTAAGGCATAATAATGAATTGCTCTAAGACGTACTGACGTAATTTTAAGCGCATAAGAGCTTCTTCGTACGTTTTGGGAATTTCACCTAAAAACGAAACTTTAAGTGCTTTGCCGGAACAGAAGATATTGACTCAGAGTGATCTCCTTTTGCTTATTGAATGATCTCCGTTTCTTACTGAGGTCAAGACACAACTTTTGCACACTACCCGATTTTGAATATTTCAATTTTGATTTTTTCGCTCACCCTACTGTCCGCCTCTGTCTGCCCGAACTGGCAGACAGGAGGGGGCGTGGTTTCGCCTTTCATTTGATGCAGTTGCTGACCATGGTTGTTTCGGTCGGTACTTGCGTCGAATTAGGAAGGAACCCACTACTCGATGCCACCATTGCCCGGTGCTCGAGGACACGGCGTATCATACGCTGGTCACATGCGATGTATGAGGCCAGCAACGCCGTGTCCTCGTCCGGGCGGTGGGGTGCTGAGAGAGGGACCTCTCGCTCCCGCGCATAGTAAGAGCCATGTGCGGGAGCGAGGAGGCTTGGGGGGCGGCGGCCTCCTTCTGTCGAGACATAATGTCCCAGAAGGAAGCCGCCGAGTGGGAGCGCCGTCCCGGAACCCATCGCAGGGAGCGACGGGGAAGGAGGCGCTCCCCAGGTATAGGGAGCGGGCCCGAGGTGGCGCCGGCCGAGGAGCGGCCACCGATTCGTCGGGGGTCCCCTTGGCCGCTCTGGGGCCAGACTTCGTCCACGCCGGGAGGGGGCAAGGCGCATAAGGCCTGCCCCCCCCCCGAGCGACGGTGAAGAACGTCAAGGGGAGAGTGGTGGCCAGTTTGGGGACGGCGATTGTGGAGCCGGGGGGTTGGGGAGGGAATGCGGGAGCAGTTCCTCTAACTCCCCTCCTCACGGTCCGACAGGTAGACATCCCGCAGGGGTTTTAGTCGGAAGAGTCCGACATAATCCCCGTCCCTCCCCAAGGGGGCGGGGGTATCCATGATGGATTTCCCCTGCGCGAACAAAAAAAAGTTCGGGGACTGCGCCCACTCCCCTGTCCTCATTCCGGGAGGCCGGCCGGGGCGCTGCGCCCCCGACTCCCTTTGTGGGAGGGTGCGGCACTTAACATGCCCTGAGGAATCATACAGGGATTTTATGGTTGAGGCCAGGCGCCGGATTAAGCCCGAGGACCTAGGGATACTAGGCGTCCTGAGGGTGCGTACTGCCCGCACCGTGGCTTTACTGATTGAGGTGCTTGGTCTCAACGCCGGGGCTTCCGCCGACCGGCTGGCGGACGAGCTCCTACAGCTGGCGGAGGAAAAGAGCCCCGGTTATCGCGTCCAGAGACCAGTGAGGTCTACAGCGCTTGGACTCACCGGGCTGGACGTGACGACCGGAGCCGACGAGGCGATAGCCGCCGTGTCCCTCGCTGGGGGGTGTTTGCCCTAGGAGATCTCCGTCGGTGAGTACAGCCTATCTCAGCGGGGGACGGCCACTGCGGTGGTGCGGTGCTCGCTAGTGGCGGCCGCTAAGGTCTCCGCGGCGGGACGGGTCCAGGTGGGCTGGGCCCGCGCCGGGGTGGTGGCGCTGTCCGCTCGCGCGATGTTGTGCTACAGGTGCTTGGGGCCTGGGCACGTGCGCGAGCGGTGTAAGAGCGCCGCCGACCGCAGCGATCAATGTTATCGCTGCGGTAACCCCGGCCACCGCGCCACGAAATGGCGTTGTGACAGCGGCGCATTGCAATGTGTGTGCAGAGGCAGGCAGGAAAGCCGACCAGGTTGGCGGACCTGCCTGCAAACCCCTCTTAGGCCGGAGGAGTAGGAGGGGAGGGGTGAGGAACCCGGCATCGAAGGAGAAAAGGGGAGTATTACCCCTACCCCTCCAGTGAAAGACAAAGGGGAGACCAGGCCGGCCCTCCGAGGGAGAAAGAGGAAAAGAGGGAAGCCGCACCGGCCTCCCTCCCCACGAGGAACGGGGGACCGACGGAGATGGAGGTGACGGTAGCAACCCCTGCCCCGGACCCCATCCAGGAGATGGAGATCCCGGAGGAGGTGAAGCCCCATAGGGAAAAAAGGAAGAGGGGAGCCATGGTGGCCACGATCCCAATGGAACCGGAGGAGAAGACGGCAGCAGCAGAGGAGAAGGAGGCGACGCCATTCCCCCCGACGGCAGCGGTGGAGAAGGTGAGGAGGATGGAGGTTACTGCCACATTCCCAACTATTGTAGTCGAGGGGGAGTTGGAGGATGCGCCATCCCCGACTTCCCCAATTGATGGTCCCTCCTCATACTCCCGAGAGGAGGGGGCCGACCAGGTAAGGACCCCACATGTAGGGACCTCCCATGTAGCCTCCACGGAGGCACCCGAGCTAGAGGCCACCACAGCCGATGTCCCCCCCGGAGAGACTGAGGTGGCGTTATCGCTGTCTGACGTCTCCTCGGGGGGGAGGGGTACAGAGGTAGAGCACCCAGAGGAGGAGTGAAAGGCTTCGCCTTCACGCTCCTCCGGGTCTCTCAGACCAACCTCGGCCGCGGCACCCGAGCCCATGACCTGTGGGTACACAGGCTCAAGGAACTGGGTGACGGGCTGGGGGTGGCCACGGAGCCGTGGTGGGTGCCGACCGGTAACACTAACTGATCGGAAAGCTTTGACGGCTCCGTGGCCGTGATGGCCAATCCCGCAGCGGGCTCCTCCCCTATAAAGTCAGGAAGAGGGGGAGCTCGTATGAGACAGTCGACTGTGGGCCCATGAGGGTGGTGGGAGTATATCTTCACCATTGTCAAAATAAGGCCGGCCTCGGAGACTTTGCCCGCATAGTGAGGGTCCTCGACAGGGTCGGGGATGTAGTGCGACAGTGCCACCCCCGACCTGTGGTCGTTGCCAGAGATTTTAACGCCCACTCTGTTGAGTGGGGCTGCAGTCCCCGGCAGGAGGACCCTCGGGGCAAGGCTGTGGTCGACTGGGCGGCGGGGTTAAACCTCCTGTTAATGAACAGGGGGTCAACCAGCACCTGCGTGCGGCCGAACGGGGAGTCAGTCATAAATTTGACGTGGGCTTCCCCTTCGGCCGCCCGGAATTTCCGGGAATGGGTGGTGGAGGTGGGGAGCGAAACGTTATCCGATCATCGGTATATAACATGTTCTCTTCGCCTCCCCACCCCTCAGCGGGTGATGGACCGCCGCCCGGGGGAGGGCGACTTTCCCTCCCTAAAAGATGGGCTCTCGGTCGACTGGACGCGGGTAGGTTCCAGGCGGTCGTTCTTGTGGCCACCTGGTATCTCGAGCAAAGGCCAGGTGAGTGGGACCCCAGCCCCCCACTGGAGGGGGCCAGGGAGATAGTGGCATCGGCTTACGACGCCGCGATGCCCCGGTCCCACCCCTGTCGGCGTCGGGCCGCATATTGGTGGAACGAGGCCATTGTCAAACTCCGACAGGCCTGTATCCAAGCCAGGAGGGAGTATTCCCGGGCCCGGGAGCGAGACGGGGATGCCACAAGAGTGAAGGTAGGCTGCCTCGGAGCAAGGGAGGCCTTCAAAGCCGCCGTAGCAGAGGCAAAGGCGGGAGCCTGGGAGCAATTGGTGAGCTCCCTGGATGACGACCAGTGGGGGTGCCCATACAAACGGACAATGGGGAAGATCCGTCCGTGGGCACCCCCACCAACGGAGTCAATGGACCCCCATGACCTCAGGGGGCTTCTCGACACCTTCTTTCCGAGGAAGGAGCCCCGCTCCCAGATTCCTGTTACTGAAATCCAGGACGGGGATTGGAACAAGGACCTGAGTCACACCAGAGGAGTTCACCATGGTCGGGGGGAAGCTCGGGGCCAAGGGCAAGGCCCCTGGCCCCGACGGCATTCCTGGTCGACCATGGGCTCTCGCCCTCTGCGAAGGGAACCTATCTGCAACCACGTGGGATGTTCTCGACGGGAGTCTGAAGGAGGGGGTTTTCCCCCAGGAGTTTAAAAGGGCCAAGTTGGTCCTCCTCCCGAAGGAGAGCAAGACGCCCGGCGGGGCGCCGGCCTACAGGCCGATATGCCTGCTGGACGAGGCGGACAAGATGCTGGAGTGCATCATTGCTGACCGCCTCGTCTAGCATCTGTCCTCGGAGGGGCCGGACCTCTACGACAACCAGTACGGGTTCAGGCCCGGGCGCTTGACGCTAGACGCGATCCATTATGTCTGGGACCTGACCCGTACGGTCGTGGACGAGGGGGATGGGGTGTTACTCGCGGTATCGTTAGACATAACGAATGCGTTCAACACCATGCCCTAGCCGGAGATTGTACGGGCCCGAGTATCATGGGGTGCCTGTCTATCTCCGGCGCATCCTGTCGGCCTATTTCGGGAGCAGGGACCTCGCCTACTCGGGAAGAGGCGGGGTCCAAGGCCGGCGCACCATGGAGCGCGGTGTTCTGCAGGGGTCGGTACTCGGCCCCCTGCTATGGAACATCACAGGTGTTTCGCTCTCCCTTTCCCCTCGGCTGCCACATAGTCTGCTACGCAGACAATACGCTGGTATTGGCCGGGGGGAGGACTGGGGGAAGCCCGCCTTCACACGGAAACGGCACTGGCATCGATGGTGGGCACCATCAGCGACCTAGGGCTCAGGGTGGCCCCGAAAAGACTAATGTTTTTACATAGCCAATGTTTGTACATAGCCAAGCCATGTACTTTCATGGCAGGGGTGGGGGGGGGGCGCCGCGTACTCAGGTCCTGATGGATGGAGTCTGTATCCGCGTCGGGCCCACGATCAAATATCTGGGCCTGACGCTGGACGGTCGATGGGGATTCGGGCCGCATTTCAGGCAGCTGGTCCCTCGGGTTCGCAAGGCAGGACAGGCTCTGGTCGGTCTCATGCGGACCCAGGTGGGCCCAGGTTGGCGAGCTCGCCGCCTGTACGTTGGTGTCGCGCTCTCGATCGCTGTCTATGGAACGCCCATTTGGGCGCCTCGATTATTAGCCGCCGGCCGCAACAGGAACTTGTTGCGCCAGGCCACGCGAGCGGTGGTATTGAGGGCAGTTCGGAGGTACGGCATCGTCTCGTATATGGCGGCGACCACCTTGGCCGTCTCCCCTCCAGTGGAGCTCCTAGCCGAGGAACGGCACCTCCTATATTCGAGGGTGAAGGAGCTTCGCGGACGGGGTGAGCTAACGAACAGAAGCCTGGCGGCCCTCAAGACTCAGACCAGAGCCCTTGGGACGGTGATCGGCCGAGTTGGCTGATCCCCGGGTACCCGGGCTTCAAACGGCCGAGACCGTTTGCCCCTGTCTACCGGAAATGGTGGACAGAAGGGGATGCGGACTCTCTTTTCATCTGGTGCAGGTGCTGACCGGATACAGTTGCTTTGGAAAGTACCTTCAGCGAATAGGGAAGGAACCCACCACCGAGTGCCACCACTGCCCGGAGCGGAAGGACATGGCGCATCATACTCTGACTTTGTGCCCGGCATGGAGTCAGGAGCGCCGTGTCCTGGCCCGGGCGGTGGTGTGCCGGGTGGAAGCACTCTCGTTCCCGCGCATGGTGGGTGCCATATGCGGGAGCGAGGGTCATGGGGGGCGGCGGCCTCCTTCTGTAGGGACGTGATGTCCCAGAAGGAGGCCGCCGAATGGGAGCGTCGCCCCGGAATTCGTCGCAGGCGGCGACGGGGGGTGCGGCGCTCCCCGGGAATAGAAAGCGGGCCCCAGGTGGCGCCGGCCGAGGAGAAACCGCCCCCGATCCGTCGAGGGCCTCCTCGGCCGCTTCGGACCCGCCTTCGGATGCGCGGAGAAAGGGCGACGGGAGGGACATGAAGCCTCCCACATCCCCGCGCGTCGGTAGAGGTAGGCAAGGGGGTTGAAGGCCCGTTTGGGGATGGGCCTCACATCCCGCCCTCCCTCTTGGCTGGTACCCGAGGAGGGGGGCGTATAGAGAGGGTGGTGTTCCCTTCTCTCCAAATAGAAACCGGAAGGACAGGGAAGGAAGGATAGGGCGCGGTACCCAGTTGGATAACCGGCCGGGGTACCGCGCCCTAGACTCCCCTGTGGGAGATGGGAGGGCGCGGTAGTTGGGCGTGGAACTCCTCGTATGAGCCCTGGGGCCGGGGTGTCGAGGAGGGAATGCAGACAGTTTCCCTAACTCTCCCCACTTCGACTCGATCGGTAGATATCCCGGTGGGGTTTTAGTGAGTAAGAGTCTCATATAACCCCCGCCTCCCCCAAGAGGCGGGGGTATCTATGATAGATTTGCCCACCGTTATAAAAAAAAGTGCGCCACTTGGGCATGGGGTGTCGGGGAGGGAATACAGGCGTAATTCCCTTGACTACCCTCATTCTGATCCGATCGGTAGACACCCCGATATGGTTTTAGCTGGTGAGAGTCCGCCATAACCCTCGGCCCCCCTAAGGGCCGAGGCCATCCGTGAGGATTTCCCCACCGTTATAAAAAAAGGTTTTGGGTATGGGTGCGGATTGCGGGTGGGGGTGTGCGTGTGCGTCTTTTCTTCTTTTTACAACGGTGGGGAATTCCTCATGGATACCTCTGCCCTTTGGAGGGGTGTGGGTTATGCTGGATTCTTACCGGCTAAAACCCCACCAGGGTATCTACCGATCGGGCCGAAGTGGTGGGAGTCAGGGGAACTACGCTTGTATTCCCTCCCCGACACCCCGGCCACAGGGCTCTACTGGAACCTCACGCCGAAGTGCCGCACCCCCTCCCACAATGGGAGTCGGGGGCGCGGCGGCCGGACCGGTTGCCTGGCCAGGTTGGCCTTCTGGTTTCAATTTTGGAGACAGGGAAGCACCCACCCTCTCTTCTAGTCTCCCTCGCTAGCCGAGTGTGGCCGGGCAAGTGGGACCCGTTCCTAGACGGGCCACCGCTTCCCCCTTTACAATCATCACCGTCGCTCGGGGGGCGGGGTGCGGGCCTTATGCCCCTTGCCCCCCCGCGCGGATGGAGTCTGACTGAGGCGGTCGAGGGGGGCCCCGACGAACCGGGGGCCGCTCCACGGCCGGCGCCACCTCGGCTCCGCTCCCTATATCTGGGGAGCACCGCCTTCTTCCCCGTCGCTCCCTGCGACGGGTTCCGAAGCGGCACTCCCATTCGGCAGCCTGCTTCTGGGACATTATGTCTCTGCAGAAGGAGACTGCCGCTCCCCATACCTCCTCGCACATGACTTTCATCATACGCGGGAGCGAGAGGTCTCCCGCTCGGCACCCCACCGTCCGGGCGAGGACACGGCGTTGCTGGCCCCATGCTTCGCATGCGCACCATGTGTCGCAGTGTAAGGTGCGCCGTGTCCTTCAACACTGGGCAGTGGTGGTATCGAGTGGTAGGTTCTTTCCTGATTCGATGCAGGTACCGACCGAAACGACCATGTCCGGTCAGCACCTGCGTCAAATGGAAGGCGAGTCCACGCCCCCTCCTGTCTGTCAGTTCAGGTAGACAGGGGCGAACAGCCCCTGTCTACCCGACCCCACGGGGGTCGGACCCGGATCCACGGGGGTCGGACAATATGTCCGACCACCGCTCCTGTACCCGGGCTCTGGCCTGGGACTTCAAGGCCGCTAGGCTCCTGGCCGTCAGTTCCCCCTCCTCGTGGAGTTCCCGTACTCTCTAATATAAGGTACTGCGCGCCTCAGCGAGGAGCTTCACGGGGGGGGGGGTGCCGGCCAGGTTGATCGCGGCCATATATGAAACGGTTAGATATTCTCGGACAGCCCTCACGATCACCGATCGCAGCGACTGGCGCATAAGGTGTTTGCTGCGGCCGGTGGCCATAAGCTGGGGCGTCCACATAGGCGTTCCATCGAGGGCTATCAAGAGCACCACACCTATATACAGGCGGCGAGCCCTCCATCCTGGGCCCCCTTGGGTCCGTACGAGGCTGGTGAGAGCCAGTCTTGCCTTATAGACCAGGGGGATCAGCTGCCTAAAATGCGGCCCGAAATCCCAGCGGCTGTCCAATGTCAGGCCCAGATACTTTATCGTCGACCCGATGTGGACGCGGACTCCGTCCTCCAGGACCCAGGTCCTCGGCGGCGCCCCACGACTGCCGTTGTGAAAAAAAGTTGCTTCAGTCTTGTGGGATGCCACATTTAGACCCAGGTCCTTGATGATACCCACCACCGATGCTAGTGCCACCTCCACGCAGAGGCGGGCTCCTCCCAGTTCTCCTCCCTGGCCCCCACTAACGTGTCATCTGCGTAGCAGATGACGTGGCAGCCGGAAGGGAAGGGAAAGCGAAGCACCCTGTCGGACGCGATGTCCCATAGCAGGGGGCCGAGAACCGACCCCTGCGGGACACCGCATTCCATTTGGCGCCGGTCTAGGACCCCGCCTCTCCCCGAGTAGGCGAGGTCCCTGTCGAAGTAGGTCACGAGCATATGCCGGAGATAAGCAGGCACTCGATGGTGCTCGAGCGCCCGCCCAATCTCCGGCCAGGGCAGGGTGTTGAACGCATTCGTTATATCCAACGATATCGCGAGCAACACCTCGCTCCCCTCCTCCACGACAGTACGGGTCAGGTCCCGAACGTGCTGGATGGCATCCAATGTAGATCGTCCGGGTCTGAACTCATACAGATTTTCAGGGAGGTTCGGCCCCTTCGAGGACAGGTGCTGAACGAGGCGGTCGGTAATAATGTGCTCAACCATCTCGCCTGCCCCGTTCAGCAGGACTAAAGGTTGGCGCGCGATCGGACACCTTGCTGTCCTTCGGGAGGAGGACCAATTTGACCCTCCTCCACTCTGAGGGGAATACCCCCTCCCTGAGGCATCAGTTGATAGTGTCCCGTGTGGCTGCGGACAGGCTCCTTTCGCCGAGGGCGAGAACCCAGGAGCGGCCAGGAATGCCGTCGGGGCTAGGGGCCTTGCCCTTGGCCCCGAGCTTCTTTCTGGCCTTGGCGAACTCCTCTGGAGTAACCATCAGGCCCTCGTTCCAGTCCCCGTCCTCTCGCTCGGGGACAGGTATCCGGGGGGGGGCCCATTCACCCTCGGAAAGAGGGTGTTTAAGAGCCCCACGAGGGCCTGGTGGTCCAAAGACTCTGTTGGTGGCTGTGCCTACGGACGAATCTTACCGATTGTCCGTTTATAAATGCGCCCCTACGGATCTTCGTTCAGGGAGTCCACCAATTGTTCCTAGGCTCTCTTTTTTGCCTCGGCAATGGCGGCCTTGAGGGCTTCCCTCGCTTGGAAGTAGTCCTCCCTCGCCCTTGCGGCATCCCCATCTAGTCGCTGGGCCCGGGTATAAGCCCGCCTGGTTTGGACAGAGGCCTGCCGTAATTCGGCTATGGTCTCCATCCACCAGTATGCGGTCCGGTGCCGACGGGGATGGGACTTGGGCATCGCAGCGTCGCATATCGACGCCACGATGCCCACTATCTCCTTAGCTCCCTCCTGGGGGCTAAGGTCCCAACCACCTGGCCTCTCTACGAGATGCCAGGTGGCCACAAGGACGGCCGCCTGGAACTTGTCCGCGTCAAGCCGACCAAGGGCCCATCTCTTGGGGAGGGGAATGTTCCCTTCCCTTGGGTGACAGTCCAGCACCCGCTGTTGAGGAGTGGGGAGACGGAGAAAACACGTTATATATCTATGATTAGACAACGTCTCACTCTCCGCCTCAACCACCCATTCCCCGAATATTCGGGCGGCTGAGGGGGAAGCCCATGTCAAGTCTATGACCGACTCCCCCCTCAGCCGAATGCAGGTGTTGGTCGACCTCCTGTTCATCAATAGGAGGCCGAGTCCCGCCATCCAGTTGACCACGGCCCTGCCCCGAGAGTCCCCTTGCCGGGGATCGTAATCCCACCCTGTTGAGTGGGCGTTGAAATCCCCGGCAACTATGATGGGTCGGGGATGGCACTGTCGTACCAAATCTCCGACCCTGTCGAGGACCCCTCTATTCGGGCAGGGTCTCCGAGGTCGATCTTGTTCCTGCGGTGGTGGAAATAAACCCCCACCACAGTGGCGGGCCCCTAGTTGACAGCCACATACGAGATCCCCCTCTTCCTGATTTTACAGGAGGGGGATTCCCGGGACAGGCCACCACGGCCACCATGTCGTCGCGGCTGTCCGACCAGTTTGGATTACCGGCCGGCACCCACGACGACTCGATAGCCACCCCCAACCCGGCGTCCAGTTCCGCAAGCCTGTGAACCCACAGGTCTTGGGCCCGGGCGTCGCGGCCAAGGTTAGCCTATAGGATCCGGAGGAGCGTGAAGTTTGAGCCTCCTCCGGGCGCCCTACTTCCTCCTCTTCGGAGAAGACTATCGGAGTGAACTCCGAACAGTTTCCTTCTCTGAGGTGGTTTCGGCTATGATGGTTTCTTTCTCAGGTGCCTTTGCAGAGTCGGAGATACAGGGGGTCCCTATCTCATTGTCTCCCTCTTCTCGGGAATATGAGTGGGGGCATCCGTTTGAGGAGCCGGGGGTGGCGCACCCACCGGCTCCCCTTCGACAGCTAGGGCCGTTGGGGGTGTTGCACCATGCTCCACTCTCCTCACCTTGTCCGCTATCTCAGTCAGTGACGAAGTCCCTCCTTCCTGGTCCCTCGTTGGGAGGGCGACTTCGTCCGTCGCCCCCCTTTTCCTCGTCTCTCTCCGGAACCGCTGCTCCTCCAGGGCCTCTTTCAGGAGCTGGTCCGAGGAGGTCAGGAGGGTCAGAACGACCTCCATCTCTTTGTTGCTCTCCTCCCTCGTAGGAAGGGAGGCCGGCCTGACCTCCCCACTCTGTCCTGTGCCTGGTCCTCCCGCTGCGTGCCGCAGGATTCGGGAGTTCGGGCCTCTTCTTCCTGCACTGCAGCCTCCCTCGCTGAGGGAGGGGACCGGGGCGTTCTCTCCCCGGCTCCGCGACTGGCCTCCTTCCTTCATTTCTCCCCCTTCTGTTTTTTCTTCCCGGGGGGTCTGCAGGCCGGCCCGTCTCGGCGCACATGCCACAGTGCGCCATCGCCGTCTTGCAGTCCTTGGCGCGGTGGCCGGGGTTACCGCAGCGATAGCACAAATCGCTGCGGTCGACGGCGCTAGTGCACCGCTCGCGCATATGGCCCCGCTCTAGACATTTGAAGCAGATCGTCGCGCGAGCAGGCAGAGCCGTCACCTCAGCGCGGCTCCAGCCTACCTGGATCCGCTCCGCAGTGGCGACCTTCGCGGCCGCCGCCAGCGGACACCGCACCATCACTGCCGCTGTCCCCCGCTGGGATAGGCTAAGCTCACCTATGGAGACTTCCGCAAGCGAGCATCCCCCATCGAGGGACACCGCGACCGTTACCTCGTCCGCCCCGGTTGTTAGATTCAGGCCGGTCAATCGCAACGATGCGATCTTGAACGGCTTCTCGATTTTGTAACCGGGGCCCCTTTCCGCCGCCAGCTTATCGAGCTCTTCGGCAAGTCGGTCGGCGGCCGCCCCCGAGTTGAGACTAAGCACCTCCACAAGCAAGTCCCTATTCAGGGCCTAGCGGACCAGGAGGGAACCCGGGATTCCCAGGTCCGCCGGCTTGATGCGGCACCTGACCTCAACCATAAACTCCTGATATTTATCAGGGAAGCACCTTATTGTAACGGCCGCAGATCTCGGCGGCTTTAGCTTTACCAGCCGTGCCGCCGGACATCCCTTCTTAGGCCCGGTAACCTTTGGAGGGGGAAGAGTTGGTCCACTTCCCTTCTTCTCCTCCTCCCTTATCCTCTTCTTTGTCTTCCCTCCCAGGACCTTGGACCATTGCTCCTGGAGAGCTATCATGGACTGAGGGGCTCCATGGAGCTCCCCCGTGGACGCCACCTTGCCGTGGTGGGGGAGCTTGCGGATCCCAATGATGTACAGGGCTGTACCGGCAGGGGCTTCGGCCCCTGGCAGGTTCTACCATGCCGGAGTGGCCTGTACGGAGAGACCTTACTAAGAGCGTCCATAATATTCCTGGATGGGCAGCTGCCTCCAGGTTTTATCCAGGGACTGGAGGATCGCACTTGTGCGGCCCTAAGGTCCCTACAGCGCGGGCAGAGCGGGCACATTACCCTGGTGAAGGCAGCCGGTCTAGGGGAAGGAAAATCCCGAATTCAAACCCGAGTGGGTCGGGCTCGTAACAATCTAACATCTGGATGGATTATATCATGACAACCAAGGCTAATTACTTCCTAGGTCTTGGAACTAGGAACCGGCGTGACGGAAGGGATATTGTCCCAGTCCTCCTCACGTCGTCATCGAGCGATGGGCTGCACCGCGGGCTCCAGGGCGGAAGCTACGACTGCGGAGCGTCCTGGCGGGGACGTGGTTCCGACCCCCCTCCCCATGTCGTCAACCGACGACGGGCCGTCTTATCAGAGGGAGAACCCCTCTTACCGAAGCAGAAGCAGGGGAAGCCCCGGTCGTTTGCGGCCGGGAAGGCCGCTCCCACCGGGGAGTTGGCGTGGCGAGCCTGCGCGCAAAAAAAAAACAGGCGGCCGGCCAACGCGGGAGCACTCCCGGCCAGCCGGAAGGGCGGTCTCCATTGGGAGGCTCACCACGTGAGCCCTCGCGTAGAAGAGGGGCGGCCACGCGACGAGAGAGAAACAGAGGCCCGGGGAGCGGCACCAACACCTTCTTTTTTTTGTTGCGATGTGGGAAATCCATCATGGATCCCCCCACCCCCGGGGAGGGACGGGGGGGTATGCCGGACTCCTACCGGCTAAAACCTACACCGGGTAGCTCTACGAAGGGACCTGATCTGGGGGGTCGGTGCCACTGTGACTGCTTATCGGCCCCCCGTATCCAGATATTCATCTCCTTGTCCCCGGGAGTGGGGGGAGGGGGGGGAAGCGACCCCGAGAGCTTGGAAGCCCAGTGGTCATCTTCGACCGCCGCTCTCCTTACCCACCCCCCGCCCCGTCCAACTGGGAAGGGGAAAGCACACGGTGGCAGGGCACCGCTGACCACGTGAAGGCCCGCTTCAACCGCCGTTCCCAGTGGACGGGATGTCCTGATGATGTTTGGCGGCTAGGTGGGCTACCACCGCGGGCCCGAGGTGGCTTCGGACGAGGAGAGGCCGCTGGCCTATACGGGCCGGCGCCTCCCTCGGCCACCTCGGGCCAGGCTCCGCCACTCGGGTGGGGGGAGCGAGGAGGATACCTCCCACTTCCCCGAGTGATCGGGTAGGAGGGAAAAGGGGAGGTGGACAACCCGATTGGGGTCGAGCCCATTTCCCCAATTCCCCCCCCCCTCCCTGAATCTTTCGGGAAGGGAGGGATAAGGAGGAAGGGTGGATGTCCCCTTCCTCCTAGGAAACACCAGAAGGCCAGCCGGCGGGGTTACCCGCCGGGGACCGCGCTCCTCCCACTAATTCCCCGAAAGGGGAAGGCGGGTGCGGTACAAGAAGGCGAGGGGCTCTTGGTTAAGAGCCCTGGGGCCGGGGGGTTGGGGAGGGAATGCGGCAGCAGTTCCCCTAACTCCCTTCCTCACGGTCCGACAGGTAGACATCCCGCAGGGGTTTTAGTCGGTAAGAGTCCGACATAACCCCCGCCCTCCAAGGGGGCGGGATTATTCATGATGGATTTCCCCTGCGTGAACAAAAAAAAGAAGGTGGGCTACCACCACCTAGCCGCCCCAGCGTATGGAGGGCTGGTTGCAGCCCAGGTTCCCCGCCCTGGACCCCACCCTCCTCCCCGACGGAGACGGGGGGATATTATCCCC